ATACAAATTTCACATAAATATGTTTTTAAAAAGTATATCATGTAGTGTACCATTAATAATTTTAAGTACTATCTGTAGTATTTTTGATAGAGTAGATAAAATTTTATAAAAATTTTAGTTTTAGAGTAGATGGCTTCATAATTGCAATTTTAACCTTTTGTTTTATTCATTTGATTTCTCTGAAATTGCCATTGTTTGATCCGATACTGACAAGTTCATGATCAGTTTGAATCTAGTTAAGCAGTTGATACATTTGAAGTTGAATATATTTTCTTGTTTTTATGTTTTTCTTTGGGGATCACATTAAAAACAGGAAATTCTTTTTCAATAAAATTTTGGATTGGGATATTTTCATTTCATTGAGACATCCAATATAAAAATAAATAGTAAGTAGTTAATAAGTACTGGTGTGAAAAAATTTATTTGAGTAATATGCAGAAGACTTACTAGGCACAAAAGCTACAAAAAAAGAATGCCCTGTTTTGGGCTTATTATCTAATTAAGGAAAACTCACAGGATAATATGTGGAAACTATTCCCTTTTTATATTGAGCATATTAGGAGAGGTAGAATAATGGGTTAATTGGACAAAACATTTGGGCATTTTTATTAAGGACAGATATTGGACAATGCTTTGAATAAAAGGTTAATTCTACTAGAAATCTGGGAGCTGATCTTAGTGGATAGTAATGAAGCAAAGGAAAAGCAAGGTATATATATAGAGAGAGAAATACAGACTAGTATCAAATAGCATGGTACTATAGGCTAAGAAATACTTTTATTGTAATGTTTTTAGCTTTACTTATTAATCAAAAATTTAGAAAAATTGTGTTATCCTTAACTAACATTGTTTAAGATATGAATTAATGGAAGATCCTAATCAAGCTATTGAATGGTTAATGCAGCTGATCAGTGTTGTTCCAACTGATTCTAGAGCTTTGTCAAAACTAGGAGAATTATATGATAGTGAAGGAGATAAGTCCCAAGCATTTCAATACTACTACGAGGTAGGTGTTTAATCTTTTCTTCTACTTTTTAGCTCTTTATGAATTATTATTGAAAAAAGCAGCAGACCTTTTAATTTTTAAAATTTAGAAATGCTTAATAGCTTTTAAGTCAATAATGATTTACAGTAAAGCATTTGTGGAATCTAAGGTTAGTTTTTAATTAATTTTAGTAAAACATTAAATCAAAGGAAAAATTCATTTTTCTCTTGAGTGTGATTTTCATCCCTTTTTGATTCCTTTACATATTTAATTTGACTCAGATTACATAACAGTACATACAAAAGATACTTACAGGTAATTGAAAAATGTGTTATATAAGCCTTAAGTTTTCTGAACTTGTATAGTTTCAAAACCTATAAAGTGTTTATGACATCTCATATGTTTTTATTAAGAGATTTCACATTGGATAAATTAATCTATTCAATAGGTAAAATATTAAAGAAGGGCATTACATTTGCCACTGAAGTTGTACTGTCACAATCCATATTTTTTTCCAGTCATACAGGTATTTCCCTTCTAATATAGAAGTCATTGAGTGGCTTGGAGCCTATTACATTGACACCCACTTTTGTGAAAAAGCCATTCAGTATTTTGAAAGAGCTTCTCTTATACAGTAAGTAACTATTACGATTTTATGTTTAGTTAAATGTCTTGGGTCGGGAATTGATTTTATCTCTGAATTGGAATCTGATAAACATATTATGTTCATGAGCAAAGATTAATGAACATTTATGTATTATTTCCATTTTCTTGTATTATGTTCCATTTTACTTGGTCTTTATTGTGGTAGGTATATTTCCTTTTCATGTAAAACTTTAAAAAATACTTTCTTTAAGTCCTTCTCTTTATGTATTTTTCTTATTCACATCTCACCAAATAAGTATTATTTCTTTATCAGTCATAAAATAACTATCTCAGGCCTAGGACAAAGTTTAATTACTGAAAGAGTCCTAATAGAAATAAATTCCCTGGTTTCAGTTTGTAACTTATATGCATTGTGTATTCAAAATTAAATTTTTAAATATGTTTTAAGTTCATATCGGAATGTTTTGTACATGTCTGCTCCAAAAATAATTGGAATATATTATATTTTGCTTTGTATTTGGTCAAATTGAATTTTTGTTGTTGTTGTCATTAATCTACAATTACATGAAGAACATTATGTTTACCTAGGGTCCCCCCTTCACCAAGTCCCCCCCACAAACCCCATTACAGTACTATCCATCAGCGTAGTAAGATGCCCTAGAATCACTAGTCTTCTCTGTGTTGCAGAGCCCTCATCATGCCCCTCCACACATTATACATGCTAATCGTACGTAAT